CTACTGCTATATCCTCTACTAATAGTTCTACTAAAAGTTTCCCCTACCCTATCAGATATTAGTGGAAAGGACCTGATCACAGACCATAGGAGTTGTTAAAGCGATGGGGTTATTGAAGCGGTAGAGTATATGAAGTCTTGGAGAGAGGCTGGGTTGGTGTCTGAAAAGCAACTTGTTGAAGCCAAGTTAATACTAAGAAATCTTGAAAACGATTCTGTGCAGAGATTGGAGGGGAAAGGCGGTGGTGGAGGCGTTATTTCAGCTTCGGGCAAATCTGATAAGCAGTCGGATATTAACATAAGTGTTGTAATTGGTTAGAGTAACTCGTCTAGGTCTGCTACTGTGCACTCTGGCAGGCTCCATCGAGCGCTGGGTTGCCCCTAAGAGCCTTGGAAAACAGGAGTTCAGAGACGCGAGGGGGAGCGGATGGGATGATCTCTGGGCGCTTAGAGAAATCTTACCCAAAGCAGAACATAAGATTGGCGATGGCATTGAGAGGCTAGGGTCAAAGCTGATAGTCATCAAGGACCCTCATGGTGATGAGGTGAGTGCTATTGTCAAGGATAAGACGATGTCCTTCATGAAGGTTCGGAAGAAGGAGACGAAGGAGGTGAAGAAGATCGCAAGGCTTCAAAAGAAGCTGCATGCTAGGGAGAAGCATGCCAAAATAGTGGGCCAGCATAAGGAGAAGGAAAGGAAGTTGCAGGGGAAAGCAATGACGGAGGAGGAGACCAGGGAAACGCACAAAGAGAAAGCTCGCATGCATAGAGAGAGGAAGGGAAGGGGACAGCGGGAGATGCAAATGCAAGAAAAGTAGTAGGAGGCGACGAAAGTGGGGGAGTGAAATCACAGTTTTGCACTTGTAGTGTAACCGTACCTTTATATCCAGAGCGTAGGCCACCGGTGGGTACGGTGTATATATGATGCGTCCCAAATTTTGTAAATTATCTATCAAGCTCCGGAAAAGCATTATCCATAGCAGCCATTCATGGTGTTTCATAGGTCGGCGCTTTAGCAAATCACAGACTTTAGCAGGGGAATATTAGATTGATCAACCTATCAACGATATCATACAAGAACAAATACAACCTTCAGATAGCCCCACTCACGCCCACACGTGCACACTAGATAGTCTTTCCCGAACCCCGAACTCCCAATCTATGATAGCATCAACTAGTGATAGGGAAGAAAAACGTGATCTAAGAGAACCAGGGCAAAGAAAGGTTAAGCAATAAAGAAATTACTTAAATAAAACCCTTGGTAAACGCTTCCACAGCGGGTATTATATCGTAAGTTGCTCGCAAGGTCGATTGATTGTCGATGAAAGGGTACTGTACTGTACCACCACCCCACCATTCCTGAATCAACCAATCTTCACCAATCTTCCAGCAACTGTGATGGTGGGGGGACGTATCACACATACCGGTGTATTTGTGGTATACTCGTGCGCGGAAAAGTGCTGTTGGAGATGGGATTGGCTAGAGATTTTAACCTCTCTAGTTTTGGCAATTTTCTGCTTCTAATAGAAAATTCTATCGTAATATTATTTGACGGGTCTTCCATACATCCCTGCGTTATACCAACACTAGCCCTCTTTCTCCCACGAGGCTGAGCCGGTGCGCTGGAAGTGGAGTTGGAAAACAGGTGTTTGTCTATCGAGTGATGTTTTGTGATCTCGTTGCTTATAGTTATCAACCCAAGCGGCGTGCGGATGCACGGATGCCGGCATCCGTCGGCGGATAAAACCGGGTACGGGGAGGACTGTCTGCTTTCCAGCTTCACATGTGCTATGCCGAGAGCTTTAGCAGGTGGTACTATAGGTTTCGGAGTATGGAGAATGGGCGGGCAAGCTGGTTTGTCTATTTGCGGAGGGGACATGTAAAGTATTATACGCTGATCCCGGATTCCTAATAATATTAATAATAACATGACCGGAAAAAAAGAGGGTAGAGGCTGAAAACAAACCCTCCTAAATTATGTAATTCATGACAAATTAATTAGGTAAAGTCCTATTAACTATCAGCAGCACTCCAAATTTTGTGCGAAGCCCGGTCATCTCACTGCCCTTGCTCCACGCTAGATATGGTATCCATGGTATTTTAAGGTTCCCAATTACCACTGTACCATTCAATAATTCAAGAGTGGCGTGAATATGAGTGACAGGGTGGGAGAAGGTGACCCCCTAAACTGTTTGTCTATGATACATAGCGTTTAAGTTTAGCAAAATTGACCTCAAAAATTGGTAACCCTTGGTATATTTTTCTCCGCTTCCACAACTACGGACCTGTACATTTCATCATGTGCCTGACCACGCAAAATTATCAGACTGGAATAAGAATACTGACTATAGTGTACCAACTTATGATTCGTGCATCCCAAAGCGTACACCAGCGATTAGCATTTTTAAATGATTATACCCCTCCACCTAGATAAATATTACTTCAAAAAAACCACTAGGGTATTGGGAATGCTAAAGAGAATAACGTAGTGGTTTTTTTTGAATTACAGGTCTCGATAGTGAGATATGATCAATTGATGAGTTGAAGCCTGGTGTACGTTTTGGATTGCACGAACCATACATGTTTTTTCTAGCACATTTTCACTCGTCCATTTCGAGACATTTGGAGGCGTTCCTTGTTTACAACGGATAGCTTGATTCGCGAAGCAGTCTATCATCGTAATACGGCGTTGGCTCTAACCACAGCTATATCCTATCATTCCGGGGGGGGGGGGGAAGTCCCTTCATTCTATTTTCTCTCACCTGCTCCTACGATTCACTGGTGGATGGGACCCGTGCGGCGCCGGGGCTCTTTGGTCTCTTTTCTCAACCGGTGAGGGCCGCCACTAGTATGGGGGTTGAAAGAATCCCCGGATACTTGCATATCATTGTCGAGTAGCCTTGTAGGAAAACGGGGGGAGGTGTTCCCTCCGGCCGGCCCTTCGAGGTGTGCTATTGGGGGTCTTTGCCGTCAGGCGGCGTTGATGAAAGTTCTATCAGGAGTTCGGTGGCCTTCGGCTGGATACCCGGTATAGTATATGTTGGGGATTTCTTCATTGTCATGTTTGGTGCTATCAAATTGATTGCGAGGTTGGTGAGACCGATTTCCGTGGTGGGAAGATTCTTTGTTAGTTTCCCCCGCACACTCCATGATCACGTCTATCTCGGTGATAGTTAATTGCTAATTGGTGACTCCTAAGTGTGATATCGTACTATTCGTGGAGCCGTGCAATTAAGTCTTTGGATGGTTGGTCATAGTGGTCTTGAGAATCCCAGCGCTATCCTCCACTTTCCTCCTGTCTGAACAAGATTCTATAAGCTTATCTACCGCCCAAGCGTGAAGGAGAAAAACGTTAGGATAAGAATGTACGGCTGGGGAAAAATAAAATACGATATAAGCTAAACTTTGTCACAAGGGGACTGGTTCCAAGTTCTGCCATACTCGGGAAACGAAGATTCGCAAACCCGCACCCGACTTTAAAGCAAGTCCCCAGGAAATGGGAGAGGAGGAAATTTTTTTGATTATTGACAATGCTAGAAACCATCTTCCCTTCATGAGATGGCTCAGGTCTAATGGTGTTACTCTCAAAGAAATTCTCGTAATTAAATAAAAATCGCGAGTGCAAATGTGTTTGACCCTGAAAACCCGCCAAGGAACTCGAAATCTCAATAAACGGTTAATAATCTGTGATGGTGTGGGGGAATAAATAGGAGGGATATGTAAATCCAAATGTGTATAACAATGCATATAAAATCCTGAAAAATATCCCGAAAAGCGGATGGGAAAAATAACACGCGGAATCCCCAATTTTTATTGTAAAGTATTAATAAAATAACATAATATATGTCCCAGCTGTGGTACTGTAATATTGACACTTACTGTACCGGCAAAGCGAAGCATTAACTAAGAATGAGAATAAGTTATGCGTTAGAAATTTCAACATCGATGAGCGATGTCTTCGCCTTCATCAGTAAGCATAAGGACCACATCTGGATAACGACATTCTCCACGGCACATGGGCTATGGGTGGCGGTATCATAGGCTGCGGCCCTTTGCGAAATGGCTGGGCAGTTCTGCACTTCTTGAAGGCTCGGCAGCCCGGCTTCTTCATCAGGAACCCGCAGCCTTGGCACGCGCACGACGACGTTGATCATGGCGATTTGTAAAAACGACTCCGGCATCCCAAACCGCGCCTTCTATTTCGCTGCTACCAGCATCGACGGCAAGTCATGGGGTTCCCGCCGGCCAAATATGGTATAGTGTTTTGACCAGTTGTAGGCACCAGGCGCGATTGCACCTTTGCATACGATGGTTCGCCAACCTGACCTTTGAGCATGCCGGCCGCTATGGGGACAGAGCCTGCGAAGCCGTGATTGATACGTGGACGGGAATCGGGGCTCCCGCAGTTGGTGCTGACCCCTCCCATCCGCCGGCCCCCCTGGAACGGCACAATCCCTGCCCTTCCGGATCACGGAATGCTCATGCATATCGCATTTGGTGACGGAGACACACCGGTACGATTCAATGATAGCCCACCTTCACTACTCGTAGTGTTATGCCGCCGGTGTGGTGGGGAAAACATCTGTGCACAGATCCACAGCGATTGCGCGTTTGTCCTAGAGGAGACTATGGTTTCTTCTCCTAATCGCTATATCGATTCCCCTCCCTACCTCAAACTCCAGACACGAAAGTGTGTTACTACGCACTCCGGCTCCCCAACCTAGACCCTCTATACACTCGTGCCGGCACTTTCTGCGACTTCTCGAGCACTGGTACTGTAGCGATCCCCTTTCTCCCGCACTTACCGCTGCGTTTCCGCGTCCTGTCTCGTTGGCTTTAAGAACACGTGCTCGAAATGCTTCTACAGGAGGACGGGGTTCTCCTCATGCCTGGGGGTAACCAGGAGGATTTGGGGCTATTGCAGCACGTCTAGATATGACTTTTAAGGCAACGACTTTTACTGCTTCGTATGAAATTCAGGCTGTTAGGTCTCCCAGAACACAAATAATAAAAAGGCTTATCCTATTTGAAAATACTATCCAACTACCCTATGACATTCCGCTTGAAAACATAAGTCCATTCGTCGTAAATAAACCCAACTAGAAAGAATCCCAGTTAGCTGAGTTCGTGTTTTTATAATCAGCTGCGGGTGCTTACCAAAGAAACTCCACCTCCATCAATGAATCCTTGGGATCTCAGAACCCCAAGTCAGTCAATCCTAGAATCCCTCCTTCAAATTCGTTCTTTCTGGGTATACCAGTTTGCCAGTGCTTTCCTGCTATCGTATCCGTCCAGGCTTGCTCATCCACCCGAGTCTCCTCCCCGATGACCTCGTCCTCATCAGCCGCCATCAAGCTGCGGACCGCAAGTTCCGTTCCTCCTGCTCCTGCACCTGGCGCCTGAGCCGGTCCTTTTTGCGGTGGAAGCCGAACACCTTGGCTCCAGTTGAAGAAATTGTCCTTGTCCCAGATTTGCTTGATGCGCTGCAACTCCTGACGATTATTCCCATAGTATGCTCTTTCATGAGTGCCCTTTGGCAGTGCCGGGTCGGGGAAATTGATGAACGCGGCCCGCTTCATCATGGACAATGGCCTCAACTTCTCCTTGAACGATTGCAAAAACCCCCTCATATTCAGTTCCAACCATTTCTCTTCCCACTGCAACATTATATATGTGTGGTAAACACAGTCACGCCAGCGAAAAGCTGTGGCCTCGCGTTTCTTCTTGCTCGCCACCCCCCCGGAATGAATCCACGTAACTTGCAGGAGGGCTTGCTCTCCCGGGAACAGGTCTCTGAAAGCTTTCATCTCGTCTCGGATAATTGTGGTGGCACTGTCGATTGTTTTCTTATTATTCTTGAAGACGAAGGAGGTATAAATAGTGTAGGTTCTGTTCGTGGGAAAGGTCTTTGTGATTTCTTCCGACCACTGAGACACTAGCGTCTCATGAAGAAATCGTGTAGATTTTTCGGGCATCGATCGCCGTTTGAGTTGCTTCGCTAGCTCTTTGTTTTGAATGCCTCTGTCGATTAGATTGTCAAAGGGCTCTTTGCCGCCATCGTAATAGATGATGAACCGAACCGCAAGCTCACTCTTTATCTGCTGGAGATCGCACAGCCAGCTGGTATCCATAGTCAGGTAATTATCCCACTCTGTCGTATAGAAGTCCTTCATCGTAGCCATGAAATCACCCATCTCCGATGGATCCGGATGCCACGTGTATCTCCCAGCTACCACATCCGGGTCCCGCAGCTCTTGAACGCTCATCTTCAGCTTGACCACAACACCGAAATTACCACCGCCGGCACCGCAGAGTGCCCAGAATAGCCTGTCTTCGTTTGACTTTGGATTGCCACTGTCCTTAACCGTAACCTCTCTTCCGTCGGCGGTGACAATGGTAACCTCCTTCAATGAGTCGCATCCCATTCCGAGGCTTCTGGTGAACGGGCCGAGACCGCCCCCCAAAATAAAACCACTCACACCCACAGTAGGGCATCGCCCACCATTGATGATATACCCATCATGACGGCCGCTGACCAATGTCTTGTATGCATGACCCCACTGCGCACCCCCCTGCAACGTAATGGTTCTCGCTCTCATATCGAGGCTGACCTTGTTCATCTTTACGAGGTCCAACAAGATGCCGTAGTCGGTCGTGGAAAATCCTGCATAGGAATGCCCACCATTCTTGATCGTGATTGGTATTTTCAAATCTTTCGCTTGTTTGACAATGATCTGAACATCAGAGGAACGCAAGGGCTGAACAACGCAAGTGGGCCTCGAGTAGCGGTAGAGGAGGTTGGCAACGGCAACCGAACGCTCATACTCCACTTCCCCGGGTTCGTATACCGGGATTTCTTCATATTTCAGAAAACTAACGATAGTATCCATGGCGAGGAAGAGTAAATGAGGTTATGGAGGATCAAAGAAGAATGGGGTTATGGGAGATCAATGGCTTAGGCCTTGCCGTGGTTGTCTTCGAGCGGCTGCTGATTTCTCCGACCTTTATACGTGGGCAAGTGATAGAGACAATTCAAGTCGTAGCGAACATAGGAACGGCTAGACCGAAACCACCTTTCTTACCAGAACACCGTAAAAGTCTACCGGCCTACTCGAAAGCAATGTGCACATTAGAGACTTTCCACACATCCCTGTTTCCAATTCGAATTCGTGCAAAAGTGGTGGGCAAGGCTAGTAAGTTTTCAAACGTTGCCAAAGATAACTAAAGCATAGCCAGACCAATTAGCAACGAAATGTCTATTTGGGAGAGGTGTATATCGGGGTGATCGGCGTCATGGCATCCTTGCGATTAAGCCCATCATTTTTCGAACCTGTCCCCAGGCTTGAATTCGAACTGAAAACAGGACTGCTTCAAGTCTCTACTGAGATACCGTATGTTTTGCTCACCATTCCAGCTTGTAATGAAACTGATCAGGCGGCCGGTGGCCGAGTGGATCGTCAATGCACTCAATCCGATGGAGAACTCCATGCAGAATTGGCGATGACATACATCACCGGGCGTCCTACCCTGTTCCCCGAGTTGGTGGTTGTCTTGAGGCATCAGCTACTCGAGCAGAGTACTGAGGGGGTTAGCGTAAGTGAGGCGAACTGGAGTTTAACTGTTCAAAATAGGTGAGTGTAACCATAAAAAGGTTCACCCTTGGATAATCGGAATGTTTTCTGTTTTTTTTAGGAGGGGGGAAAGGTCGGGCGAACGTAAAATATTCCGACCCCAGAAACTTCAATAAAATTATCCCCTCTCCTTGCCCGACTGACCAATGAGAGGAGCCAATAGGACCAGTTCGCCTCTTACAAGTTTATATTTCTAGTCCGGGATCCGAGAAGGCAACCAATTGAGAAAAGGCCGCGTGAGAGATGACACTGGCCCGTGCGCAGTGCGGCTGGCAGCCCCACAATGTCGTGTAACCGACATCCACAACTCAAATCGAACTTAATTAAAACTTACCCCCAACACTGAAATTTCCCACAAGACGGACGACGAGTGTCGTATGAAATCTGCAATGGACAGTGCCGCATTCTAGCATGGGTGCCGTACATACGGACGCACATGATTTATTGGCGAAATAATTTCATGTGGGTTGGCTGGGGGGCCGTGGCAACTAGAGGGTGTGGTTGGATGTGACGGGTTGGGAAGGAAATCATCTCGAAGTATGATCCTCGTATGTTGGAGCTGGTGGTGGGACACTTTTCAGGGGAATCAAGGAGATGATCATAACATCACACAAAATTCTTCTATTTTATACCATTCTACTAGCCTCTTCCTCCCATTCTTGTCCTCGCTTAAATTGGCTTTTGCATGCGCCATTTCTTGTCGTAGATCGATCGTACTGAGCCAAAAGAAATACGGACCGGAGCGTTGCTCCTCTGCAATCACCTTTCGAAGAGGATGTCGATGAGGCTTTTCTCGGTGTATCACTCTTCACCTTTTCCTTGATTTCTCCTGTGCTTGAGGTGGCCGAATGCGGGGGCTCCAAGGTATCAGAGAGAGCAGCGCCAGAAAAAAATTAAACCATTCCTGTATTGTAAATAGTGATGGTAGCTGGCATAAAAGATGCGAGAGCGGGTAGAGTTAGAGGGTAAAAGTCCCAGAGTATGCTCTCGATATCCTGAGGTATCCATGACCTCCAACGTTGGTGGAATGTAAATAGAAGGTTGAAGACGTCGCGGATCGCTAAATTATGATACTCTAAATACTGATGAGTCATGAACGGTCACTCGCTTGAATCTAATGTTGTGAGTCTAGCTTGAAATACCAACTTGTATCGTATAAACCACAATATGCTAACCGGACCTTGTGACTCCAAGCTCTCTGGATGTAGCAGTGAATAACTGACGATCGGCAGCTGAATATTAGCAGTTGCAGGAAAAAGTGGAGTTCACAACAACTGTACTACGGCTAAAATCTCATAGATGCTCTTAATTCCCACACTACAATTCCCCGAGAACTATACACCAAGTGGAGTAAGGCTTATTTACGTGTTCCGCTTGAGTTGGCTACTTAGCTGATCTACAACGTGCCTGTCGTATCCTCTCTAGATGCCTGGAATCCTTGCTGCAAGGTCGCGTGCATGAGAATATAAATCACAACAACGCGATCCTCCTATTCGTCCATTGGCCACGACACATATCCGTTCGCTTCCAGGGATATCCCCCTTTCCTCTTGCGTGTCGCTCATGCTAGCTGGGGAAGGGTCAGGCTTCATAAAAGGCTCCCAATATTCGTAGCCCGTGATACTCTCAGTCTCGTTTGTTGGAAATTGTCCCCACCGTTAGTTGTGGGATTGTGCGATAGAGCGAGCGATAGTAGTGCCTGATGAGAGAGAACCTCCCTACTCCCCGAAGTCGTGTGTTGGAGATGGGAGCTTTCTTTGGTGTTGTTAAGCGTCGTTACGGCTCCTTGAGCGTTCCGCCATTTCCTAGTATAGTTGGACAAAAGTCATCGTTGGTGGGCCCAAGCACGGGCCAAAACGCACCACCACTTCCTAATCAATTAAAACAAAAAATATGTCAATAGATAGCGAAGACCTAGTGATTCTGAAATCAATATTTCTATAACAAATCTGTCTGTTCTGCGTGCAGCTCTTGTCAATTGGTGAGAATGGTTTCCAAAACTGGACTCAAGCGCCGAGAGTTTGTCTGGGCTCTAATACAAAAAGGTACTTGTTTTGGAAATCGCCAGTTTCACATAGCCACAGTTTGGGTAATATTGGATTATGCACTTCGAAATCTAAATATCAGGCTTAAAATACCCAAAATCACTACTTTGTGAAGAATTGACTTACTTCCACAATCGGTGGTTGAGTTCTGGTGCTGTGAAAAATGGCATTTTTGGTGTAAAAGTGGCCATCAACGACGACTTTTGTAGCCTCATTTTACCATTATTCCGTTGTTTGTTGTCGCAGTTCCACCATTCGCAGTTTCGCCGTTCATCGTTCACGGTTACCTGTTTATAGTTCGCGATTCACGCTCTTTATCCACTCGCTGCGCCGTTTCGCCGCTTGATCGTCATTCGCCGTTCGCGAGTTCCGCCTTTCTGTGGTTCGTCGTCATCCGATCATCGTGTTGGATTGGTTTGCATATCCGGGTAACTACACTTATGTCTTGTCGTTTGGTTGTACGAGCCTGGTAACAAAGGAAACCGACCCCCACCTGGGTTTCCATGCAAAATAGACAAGTTCAGCCAACCAGCACAAAGATACACAACTAACTCCTATCCTTCAAACAACATTCAGATGAAAGAGATTCAGGGGGAATTTGATGTTGTTGAGATATGACAATTTTTTATCCCATAACTCATATGACACAGAGGTGGGCATTGGTCATGCCTGTGTGCCACAAACCAGTGACAGGTAGTATAGAAAAATGTTTCCTTGGTATGAAGAGGGTCTCACATGACCAATTATGGGTATATGTAGATGAGTTTCTTTGCTACAGTTATCACACTCTTTGGGTAGGATGTAGGAAACCCTTCGGCATCAAAAATCAACTCCTGAAACTATTGATCTTTATTACTCTGATACTACCACTACTAACTTCTCTTCTCTTTATCAGGGGATGACATATCTGGAGATTTCCCAGTAATTCTACCGTCATGTAGTTATGGAAACTCCTGTAGACACGTCACAAGGTACTACCCATGTTTTTTCAGTACTTCTTTCAGAACAGGCCCAATCTTGTCTTTCTCTAAAGTTGCAGCTCTCTCTTCACTCCTCTCAACAAGACAAGTGACTCCTACCTCCAGGGTGGTAGAGGAATTATGAGATCAGGTCTGTCTTAGCAATCTCCTAGTACAATTTGCACGTGTTAGGAGTACCAGGATCTGATACCTTGTAACTGGTACGGGTACTCGGTTATTGGTTTTGTTTTATGTTTTGTTTTAAGTATTGCTTTAATACTTGGTTTTGTTTTATGTTTTATTTTAAGTATCGCTTTGATACTTGGTTTGCTTTAAGTATCATTTGATACTTGATTTTGTTTTATGTTTTGTTTTAAGTATTACTTTGATACTTAATTAGTTTCACCAAAGTGTATCGATTGATACCTTTGATTTGTAACGTGTTCGCAGGGTGCTAATCACATTATCAGTACTAAGTACAATAGTTGGCAGGTGGCCTGCTCTTCCAGAGAGGAGGCGAGAGCTGAGAACTAAAGGAGGCTTCGAGGGTGTACTGGAAAACAAAGAAGTAACCGTTCAACCAAGTATATTGAGTTACTGTCTGTCGAAGTCTGCCTTTTCTATCGTAGAAACAGGCGGTCTTTAAATACACAAATCTGTTCATGTCTAGCATGAACGAAACTAATCAAAGGTATCAATTGATACTCTTTGGTAAAACTCCTTAAGTATCAAAGCGATACTTAAAACAAAACATAAAACAAAACCAAGTATCAAACGATACTTAAAACAAACTAAGTATCAAAGCGATACTTAAAACAAAACATAAAACAAAACCAAGTATCAAACGATACTTAAAACAAAACATAAAACAAAACCAAGTATCAAACGATACTTAAAATAAACTAAGTATCAAAGCGATACTTAAAACAAAACATAAAACAAAACCAATAACCGAGTACCCGTACCGGTTACATTCCCCAAAACAAAACAACTGTTTAAACAAACAAAACCTAATAATCATCAAAAGTGGAGTCTGAGAAACTAAAAGCTTCAGTTTCTGCTAAAAACTCTTTATCGATAAGCTGCTCGACACACAGGGACAAGGGGAAACTCTAAGGAAACACTTAGACTCAAAGAAATGCAAATCACAGTAGTCGTGAATACCAGATTCGCGCTGTACATCAACCCAAGCATGGTCCCAATCAGGACAGTAGTCTATCCAGAGGATTTCAAAGTAGTCTTCAAGTTGGATAACATCACGGTTCAACAACAGTCCAACAATCTGTTGTCGCAGCCTCACATTGAGTTC